GAAGAGATTGAGATTGTTCACAGCTTTAGTTTTCTTAGCTCCACAGTCAACACTCTCAGCAGCAGTAGCCAGGAAATGGAAAGGCGTATTGCTACGGAAAAGTCTGCTGTTAGGGACCTCTCCAAAGTTTTGAAGAGCAATGGTGTCTCTCTGGAGACTAAGATGCGTCTGATACAGGCCATGGTGTTTGCAATCACTTGTTATGCATCAGAGAGTTGGACAATGACCAAGGAGGATAGAAGGAGAATTGATGCCTTTGTGCTGTGGTGCTGAAGAAGAGTATTGAGAGTACGATGGACTGCTAGGATAACAAACAAATTCATCCTGGAAAGGGTTATACCTGGTGGTTCCTTGGAGGCAAGGATTCTGAGGCTCCGTCTGACATACTTTGGACATGTTGTAAGGAGACACCGGTCCTTGGAGAGGGACATCATGCTTGGGAGGGTGGAGGGACAGCGCATGAGAAGAAGGCCCTCTATGAGGTGGATTGACTCAGTGACAGGGGTAATAGGGATAGAGTGTCAGAGACAGTGCGATTGGCACAGGATAGAGCATGGTTTAGGGCTCTTGTACAAACAACTCGACGGCACACAACAACAACAACAACACACAACAACATTGTAAATGGTATTGCTTTCTTGACTTCCTTTTCTGGGTTCTCTTTGTTACTGTAGAGGAATCCTACTGATTTTTGGATATTGATCTTATGTCCTGTTACTCTACTAAATTGGTCTACTAGCTATAACACTTTTTTTTTGTTGAGTCCTTGGGGTTTTCTGTGTACACTATCATATCATCTGCATAAAGCGACGGTTTAACTATCTCTCTGTCAATCTGATTCCTTTTATTTCCTTCTCTTGTCATATTGTCCTAGAAAGCACTTCCAATACAATACTGAATAGATGTGGTGACAGTGAGCATCCTTATCTAGTCCTTTTATTCCCAAGAAAAAACTTTTTTCAGTAACATTTTTGTTTTAATTGTGATTTTAACAAAAGTTTACAGAAAAGTTAGATTTTAATTTACTCATTGGTGCACATTTTACTCCCTCCTCTCCGCTTCCCCATCCCTAAATTGACTTTTTTTACACTACTTTATTAACAAAATTCAAATACATTGTTTTCAAGAACATATTTCCAATTTCCCTCACACCCTCCCCCCGCTCATCAAATTGTACAACTCCATTATTTTTGTTGTTGTTGTTGTGGTTAGTATAAGAACTTTTTATTTGACATGTACAAGATTTTAATATCTTGCAACTTTTGACCAGGTTTATTATACAATCTCAGTTTTAATAGTGCAACCTGTGCAAGCAAAAAAAATAATAAAAAGATAAAGGAAACGAAAAGACCAACTGTCCCCCAACTTGTTTATAAACATCTATTATAGGTGAAACAAAACTTACCCATATTATAGATAAGTGTCTATTCACATTTGTACATTACCATTTTTAACAATTTGAGATAAACTCTACAATGTCTTACAACACAATAAACAAACTTCAAGTTACTGAGTAACGACGATAACAACGAAAAGAAAACGTACAGCAGGAGTCGCACGCAGCTTCCTCGGTGTGGACATTTTAACTCAAGTAAGGCTTCCTCTCAGGAAGGACAGAGCAGACAGAGTGAAGTCAGAAAGATTGGTTTTGCAAGATGGAAGCCAATTTGTACTTCTGTCTAAAAACTAGCTTTTCAAGTTACGCAGAATGAATTTTAAGAAACAACAGGCTTGTAGCCATTTCTGCAGCACACATTAGGAATCCTATCATTATACATTAAAAGAACTTTTCCATTTTATCATACACACATACACAAAGAAAAAGGATGTACTCACAACCTAGGGTGCTGGGCTGGGCTGGGGCTCGCAGGACAGAAACGAAGACCCATGTAGAAATACTATAAAAATGCAATAACCAATGCTGTACATCTACAAATCTGCTTCTCTCCATGAACATGACCTCTGGTTAACTGTTTATATGCATGCTTTCAAGACATGCAGTGTCAGGAAGAAATGAGAGGAAAAAACCCAAACGCACGGTCTGCACCCTTCGTCTCATGCTCTAAGAAACCTACTTCCTAGGAAGTTGGGCAAAGAAACCAATATATATTCTCTATATTCATAGACTGAAAATACATGCACCCCGGGAGAAGCCCCAGCAATGGCATGGACGTACTGCATTAACCCTGAACACTGAAGAACATAAAAGTAAAGCCAGTTTGGGAAGTTCCAAGCATCTTAAACCCACTGTGGTTTGTTGCCTTTGACAAACCCACGAATGGACAGACAGACAGAACAGACACGCGCACACACGCGTGCGCACACACATGCCCCTCTGCTCATCCACAGTCAAAGCCATCGGGAAGTACCGAGGGGAAAGCAAAAGGAGAGCCAGTGGCCCACTACGGCACAGCCCACTGCGGCACGTCAGGCCCCCAGCGGCACGTCAGGCCCACTGCGGCATGGCTGACCTCAGTCCTGCTCTCTTTTCCAGCTTTGGCCTTATTCCCCTCCAAATTAACCAGAGAGACAGAGAGCACAACTGGAAAAAAAAATTTCTTTGGAAACTGTCCCTGATTTTTATGCAAATGATATGCTTCAACAGCACTGGAGACACCCCGTGGAAAGCTGTCTGCTCTCTAAGCGTTGCTCAGGTTGGTGAAGCTCTGCGGGTGGTGCTGCTGCCACAGCTGCTTCCGCTGGACCGCAAGCTGCTGAGACTGGTCTGAAGTCGACAGGAGGTTTATGAGCAGGGACACACAATTGGCCGGAATGATCAAACCCACGATCCGCTGTCCGTCCTCCGTTCTCAGCCGCACTATTTGCATTTTCACGTTTGTGCCACTGACCGATGCTAAAACACCCTCAACTTTTGTCCACACGCTCAAGACAGAGCCACATAGTACATAGTATGTGCGGCAGCGAAGACCTATTTCACAAACTAATCCCAAGCTTGCTTTTTTGCAATTGGCACGCCAGTAAGCATGGGTACAGGTATCTGCAGACGAGTTGTACTGCTCTAACCAGTGCGCCCGAGTGTCCTCAGAGACCACCTTTTTGTATTTCTTTTTAAGATCAGAGTAAATTTCTAGTTTTAGCTGTTTCCCAGTATTTGGTCTATAAACTAAGAAAAGCTTCTTTTTAGGGTTCACTTCTTTAACCAAGATGGCAGTTTTCTTGTTGTTCCTTATCTGTAGTGACAAGTAGAAACCATCGTCCGGTCCTGTCATCTCGGCCCAGATCTTGGTTGCTTCCTCCCAAGACATGCCCCGCTCCACACTAATCATGTACAGCTCTACATGCCCAGAGGTTGAATATCCAGGAGTCAGAAACTTCTTTACATCACTTTTCCTCACCTTTTCGTCTCCAGAACCAAGATCTAAGATGCCTATGTCGTATCTTTCATTCTTTTTGGCGTTTTGAACAGCTGCAGTAAGTGTGTCTGAAAAATACTGAAATAAGGCATTCTGCTTCCTTATTCCTATAACAGATTATCCGGGAGGCTGGGCTCTATGAGGAGAAATGTGGGGTCAAGATTGCTGGATGATTTATCAACAATCTGCATTATGCAGATGAGACAGCCCTGCTTCCTGAAACTGAAGAGGACCTGAAGCACCTGCTGCAGAGGGTCAAGGACTGCAGCCTCCAATATGGATGGAGGCTCAGTGTCAAGAAGACAAAGATTCTCAC